TGTTTGCAAATGTTATTGCTCCTTATGTTCGCATAACAATTAGAGTTTCCCCTAATCGTTAAAGTTGTATGTCAAATGTTTCCCCATATGGATGTAACGCTAGCCACATAAATAGGATTGATGTTCGAATGTAGTTGAAGTTGTATGTCAAATGTTCCCTCCATATTATTGTACACCATGCAGTTATATTATCAATTTGCTTCTCAACATATTTTCAAATGTTATTACTCCTTATGTTCACATAAGAATTACAGTTCCCCCCATCATTGAAGTTGTATGTCAAATGTTTTCCCCATGTGGATGTAACGCCAACCACATAAATAGGATTGATGTTCGAATGATGTTGAAGTTGTATGTCAAATATTTTTCCCCATATTATTGTACATTCTGAAGTCATATTATCATTTTGCTTTTCAACATATTTGCAAATGTAATTGCTCCTTACCTTCGCGTAACAATTAGGTTCCTTCTATCCACATGCAGCACAACATCTCGACTATTAAATTGACGATCCTAATAGATGGTTTCTGTCATTCTCGACAAATGTTTGCAAATTACAAAATCCCACTTCTTTGAACAGTATGGTATACAATCAAATTTTGGACATAGTATAACTTTTTCAATACAAAACTTACAGTCCGCCTTTGCCACGTCATAAGTTGAAGGAACTTCATCATTGTCCAAGTACAACACTTCGGGCCAGTTGCCTAGACCAAGATACAACAACAAATAAAAATTTCATATCATAATATTTCATACATGTTAATGCCTAACACACGTGTAATGTTTGCATGAACCAATGTTGGACGGGACAGATGACAGCCAAACTGATCTTTCGAGAAAATGTTATGTGTCAAGAAAAACTGGCTGTAACTGTTGATCTCGACAGATCATATATCGAGAAAGATAGTTAATCTTGAAGATGACTCAACTCATCTGTCGATATTTAGCCATCTGTTGAAAATTACTGCTATTAATTGTCAGGAACGATAGTTCACTGCGATGTCATTTGTCTACTGAAGTGAACTGTTGGGAATTTACTTTTGACCTATAAACCACCAAAATGATAAAGGAGTAAAAGGTATTAAAGAGTTCATAAACGCTGTTTCATGCCATTTATCTTAAGCATTAATAGTACAATATTGCAAAATTGTTGAATTAAGAAGTCTCCATTTGACCTTCTAAAACACCAAAATAAATCAATGATAGAAGGGAAAAAATAGTACTTATAAGAGTTCGTAAATGAGTAAATTTTGCCATCAAAATGATCACTTATTAGCTTTTCTTAAAAATAAATCATATTGGTGTTCCTTTCCAACCAAACAAAGTCCGTCAATCTTTGCATCCTCCAAGAGATAATTTGAATGAGCTCGTCGTCAAATTTAAGTAAGATATATTTGACAATGTAATTTTAACATATCACGACGATATAATCAAAGATGTGTCCAAATAAAGAAGAGAAACCATATGTATATTTAATCAATTCAAGAAAATTAACATAAAAAAGAACATGAAAAACAATAATGAGGGGGAGGGGGGGGGGTTAGTTCAATCTCTATTAAACACATCAGAAAAATCCAATTACATGCACAAAGTTATATGAAGCATATGCTAAAGCTAGTGATGGACAAAAGAATCAAAACCAAGTTAACAAAATTGAATCGATGGGTTCAGTTTTTCCTTAAATTTTAGTGGTTTTAGTTCATAGAAGTTTTGAGAATCGAGAATCAGCTGATTAACTTGTTCTTGGCTATAGAAATTAGAATTTTTTTCAAGTTTAAGCACAAACTAGAGAATCAAAGAAAAAACAGAGTCTACCAAGATGTACTTGCATATTTTGAACACTCGTTTCATTGCTATTTTGCTCATCACAAGAACAGCAAATTTAGTTAAAAGTATTTTTCATAACTGATACAAACAATAGGTGAAAAATTAATCCCTCTATCAATAATCACAAAATAAACCTCACAATTGCGTAAAGTTTCACATTGCCTAATAATGCCACCTCTATTTTGAATTTTTGATGAAGTTCCCAAAGTACATCTCACATATCACAAACACAATTCACAAATCAATTATCCAAAGCAAATTTACAAATCATAAATTGACAAAATCACAAATTCAAGAGATTGATAAATACCAATAGGTTATAAAAGCAGATGAGTTCAGCCATTCAAAAATCACAAATTCTGATATTCATAAAGTCATATAACTGTTAATGTATCGAACTTATCACCTCGTTTAAGGCTTGAACTGTTATTGGCAGGCGACCATGAGGACTGAAAGCAAGTACCAAAGATGAGAGGAGGAGTAGGCAGCAACGCTCGTGACTAAATAGTTTGCGGTTTTACCATTTGTAGTTTTCCCTTTCCAATCATTGAATCGCTGACAGGAGGGAGCCAGGGATGGGATTTTAAATTGCTGAGTTAGTGGGTTTTGCTTCAGAGTTTGGTAATGGAAAGTGGGAGGTTTCTCTCGTGAATGTTGATAGCAGGGAATGGTTATTGACTTATTTCAATTGAATTTGGTTTTGGTTTTTCAATTTTTTTCCAAAATTTTGAGTACAATTGTGAGGTGATTGTTTGTCACATTTTTTTTTATTTTTTGTACCACTTTTTTATGTTGTCAAGCTAAGGATGTGTAGGATATTTAAATTTTGTAGAGGGGCAAAAATGTTCAAAAATGACAATCTTACAAAGATTTTGAAAATGTAAAACCAAAAATTGACATTGAGCACAATTTCCTCTATTTTTATTATACACTGATTGTTTGTCCCTTGTTTCTGGAAACAACCCTTTTCAAACTAATTAAACGTAGATGATTTAAAATCAAATTTGTCATTCACTCGATTCACCATTAGATTTTACAATAGTACCGTTTAGCACCCATTTTTTTCAAATTACATTTTTATCTCTCTTCTTTTCAACCACACATTTTTTATTGAAATAATATTACACATAAATCAAAAAAATTTCCTTACTTTTCAACCACACATTTCCGATCAATTTACTATTCAAAAATGCATTTTTACATAAAAATGTCTCCCAAACACCCTCTTATTTTTAACTCAAAATCTCCTAAATTGGTTACTATTTCTTGATTCTACATCCGTTGACCATAGGTCCGGTTATACGCCCTCCTTCTTAAATCGTCTTTTGTTTTTGCGTTCTTTAGAGCCCATGGGCTAAATAGTATTCCACCTCAACGAACAAAGAGATGTGGAAGGAGACGGAAAGCGCTTTTCAAGATCGAGTTTGATTTGTTTTGCATCAAAATAAAAAAAGATTGAGGATGATTTGGCCGATGTCTTATATAACAGAAATAAGGTTTCGTTTGATTGTAAGAATGGAATTTGTGTGGAAAAAAGAAAGAATTTCAAAGAATTGAATTGTCTAGAACTTATTTTACGAAAAATTGTTGTTACACCCAAAATTTTCATAAATTTTGAGGTGTCACAAAAAACTCGCTTTTGTTTGTTTTAAATACGGAACGATAAAAATAGATTTCTTCAAAAATAAACTGCTGAAATATCCAAAAATTTAAACTAAATATGGAAAATTTTATCTTAAAAAAATATTAACATAGACAACTAACTAATTAAATAACATGTCTTTGAATAAATTAAACTAACTAATAAATTTAAAGACAACCAAAAAAGTTTAGTACTTTTCCCTTTCGACTTCTCTTGGCAATCCGCATCACTATCTCGTCACAGTTCTAATTAACGAAAACTAATCTGAAAATTTTGTATGAGTGAGTATTTAAAAATACCCAATAAGATACGTGCATTTTTCATACACAATTATATAACAAATAAAACCTACACTTCATACCACTCTACTCTTATGAAGTATATTGGTGATCAAGCGACACACCCATCTCCTCTTATAATCCCGTAGGATTTCATCTCTCTTTTTCTCGAAGGTCCAGTAGCAATCCATGCATATTTAATTGAAATATAAAAGTATAAGAAAACGAAAATACTTGCACATAAAGTATCTTATCTCGATAGATTCAAAAATACAATTGCAAGTTCTAGATAATGGTGCGTGTAATGCTTTGACATAATTTCTAATGTATGAAAGGCTTCTCGTTTTTCTAGTAATTTAGGACAGTTTATGTTGGAGACAATTAGTTGTGAAATCTGACTAATCTAATGCCTTATTTATAGTGTGACTAGTTGAAGAATTAGTTTTGAAGTTTATCATAGTCAAATTGAGTTTGGGTTAACTAAAAGAATTGTATTCATTATCAACAATCAATTTGCCACCACTTATCAATATAAATTGGATTATCTTAATAAAAGAATCCTCCAATAGAATTTTTAAAATATAAAGGAAAAATAAAATAAAATACATGTAGAGATAAAGAATGATTGGGGATGAGGATAAATAAACCTAGTTTAGTTTAATCATGATTACATTAATGTTTATCCTAAAATATTAATTTATCTGTTCCAACTTTATAGGATATCTCTACCCAACACACTCACTTGCCCATAGCAAAGTCAATGTTCTAGATTAATAATAATTCTATCCATCCTTTTTTTTTTTCTTTTTTTCTTTTTTACTTCATATCATATCTCTTATTCAAAAAAAAACTTTTTCTTGAATCAAAAATTCCTAATTAATTACGAGCTTCAAAAAGAGCCCAATATTAGTATACTAAAACTTGGTCTATCAAAATCGAATTATTTGACAAAAACAAAGGAATTTAAAACCTATTTTATTCTAGTCTTTATAGTTTTTAAAAATATAAAGTTATAGCATATAAAACAAATAAATTTTTATTCTAAAATTCTTGGGACGTTACAATTGTCAATTACATGTGTTTGATTGTTATAATTTTTCCCTGAATTTGGTGTTCGTTTAACTTTGTGTTTTCATGAAAAGTGTTAATTATAGGGATAAAATTTGTTACTATTGTTGATAGAATTTGTCTCCATTGCACAAAAAGAAAAAAAGGAACCTGAAAAAGCCAATTCCCACCAAAACCATGAGAATTGGTTTTTCACCAATTCATGGAAAAGAAGTCACGTGGGGGGAGGGGGATGAATTCCATGGCAAATTCTCCAATTCAAACAACAAAAGGTGGAAAAATGGAAAATGTTTTTCCATCTTTCGTGAAAAATTTTCCATGTCAAATAGGGCCTAAGCTTCTTTTGACCGCCACGTTATGATTTACTAAGCTCTTTCCTCATTCAACTCGTTAGCCTAGGGAAATCAGCCTTCGGCCTTTCCTCATTCAGCTCGTTAGCCTAGGGAAATCAGCCTTCACCTATCCTTAAAAAAATTTCGACTTGGCTGGAAAAGTGAAGAGAAAAGAATTCAAGAAAGGGAAGGATCCTGGCAAGGAAAAAAGCACTCAAACAGTGTATTTGGACAGGATGTTAGCGGGTCGGAGCCAGGAATTAACTTTGTGGGGGCCAAATTTATTTAAAAAGCTAACGTAGCAATAAAATTAATATGTAATAGAAAAACGTAATATAAAGGTATCTATTAAAGTTGTGTCCAAGAAATTTTATAGATAAAATTCAACTAGAATAAAATTTACATCTAATGTGATAGTAAATTCTCATTCGATGTAGAATATCATACAATCACCAATAAAATCATCACCCATTTTGTTATGAATTTTCATCTTCGCAGGATTCATTTTCTTCCATTTTTTAAAATGCATAAAAAACCAATATGCTTAAATATCCCTACAATCCAAAAAAAAAAAAACTTTCTTATCGTTCCCCATTTTTATTTGTCTTCTTTAACGAGGGTTACATCCTCACATTCTTTATAAAATTCGAAGACAAATGCTGATAAATTAGTGGGATGAATTCTAAAGGCAACTATTATAAAGAAAAGAAATAAAATTGAAAGAATGAATTGGAAAAAGGATAATCATTTAGTTATCAAAATTGTAAAATGAGTTTATTCTGGGTTAACTATCAAAAATTAAATTTGAAATGAATGGACTGGACTGGACTTGTTACAAATGGATTGTTGTCTGTTGGTGGGTTATAAAAATGGGAAAATTACTTCTATACAGATGTTTAAATATTGAATTTCAAAACTAAGGTTCAAAGTTTAATTATACAAAAATTGGTAACAAATTTATATTTTAATATATAATAATAATATTAATAAATTTCAATTATAATCTCACCATATTCCATCCACCCAATTAAAACCCTTATTATTTTCTTCCCCAATTTCTGTCTTCTTCCCATCATCTCTCTCTCTCTCTCTCTCTCTCCCCGTCACATATGGCCATCATCGCCGAAGACCACATCGAAGCTCGCCCCTAGGAGCAGCAAGCAGCGTACAATTCTAGCGTCAACGCCTCTGCGCCCGGATCCGTGGTTTCGTCGGTACATACAGATTGAGGCGATTCATGGTTTTCTCTTATGCTTTTGCATTTGCTTGGCTTCTGTGTGGATGTGGCGATGGACGATAAGCCTAGTTCAAGCAATACCAGTTCATAATTCCGAGTTGAAGCCGGTGGGTCAGCCTATGTATAGGATTTCAGTGTTTGATAAGGCAGTGGTGGTGTAGGTATTCTAATCAGTGGGTGGCTATCTGATGTGCAGGTGATGATTTAGGATTTCAATGTTTGATAAAGTGGGAGTGGTGTAGATATTTCTAATTTGTGGGTGGTTATTTAATGTAAAGGCAAATGTTGTGCGGTGGTGTGGTATAAGCGATAGTTGTATGGGGGTGGTTGTTTTTATTGTGGTTTTGTGGAGGGGATCTGTGAGTGGCGACGGTTGTGTGGTGTGTGGTGTGGTGCAGGTGACGGTGGTAGTGTTGTGGCAGGGCGGATCTGGGTAGGACGGCGGTGGTGGTGATGTAGCGACGGTGCTTGTGTTGGCACTTGACCGCGATGATTTGGGTGGTGTTGGTGAGATTGGAAGGTGCATTTTTGGGTGTGTTTGGTGGTTGTTCTGGCTGTGCTGTGGTTGTTCCTGGTGGTGGAGACATTACGAGTTAGGTATTGTTGGTGTGTATGGTGGTAATGGTCGTGGTGGCTTTTGGCAACGGTGGAGGTGGCTGGTGGTGGCTAGAGAGCTGATGGAGTCGATTGCCATGGTTTTTGTTGGCAGCTAATTGGATCTGGTGGTGGCGATTGTTGTACGTGGTGTTGTGACCGGGGCGGGGTGTAATAGTGATTGTGATCAACTATTTGATTGCTCTATGACCAAGTATTGGTAGTGGATTAGGATCGAGACTGGAGTGTTCGGTATATGTGACCAATGATTTGGTCTGTGACCTGAAAATTTGATAATCTATGACAAAAAAATAATTTGTGACCTCAATTTGGTCTGTGACATTAAAGTTTGATAATCTGTTACCTATAAAATTTTTGATTTGTGATCTCGAAATAATCTGTAACTTATAAAATGTTTGATTTGTAACCTCGAAATAATCTTTAATCAATTAATTTGATGATATGTGATCAGTAAATAAATTTGTGATCTATAATTATGAATTTGTAATCATTAATCGT